ATGTTTGGCTTGCATCGTCTAACTTCAGCCAGTTGCGGCTTTTTGTATGAAATTGGAATGCTTTCTAGTATTATTACAAGCTTTGGGGATTCTTTATGTTTTGCATTTTGTAGATTCTGTGTGTGTTATGTTAGTGTTTGCTAACAGTTTACGTTGCCTCTTAGAGGTAACTAACGTAAAGCCATTGTTGCGTATCTGTTTGTTTGTTAATTTCCCATAGAAATTCTTTCCGAGAAACTTCAGCGACACAAGTCCTTTCTTGAGTAAAACTAGTTTATTCTTTCTCGATACAAATTTTGTAATACACTTAACAACTTTTATAACACACGCTATAAATCACAGTGAGTCACACATTTTACTTAGGGTGCCTACTGTTAGCTTGACTCAATTATCTATCTGCCGCTGGCTTTCTTTGCCAGGCTTATATGTACTAAAAAAGAGAGTATCTAGATCACACTCGAGCTGGCGGGCAAATTCATGATCCTTCGAGAAATTTCAGCGCACATGCTCCCAGAGTCGCGTGACTTCCGCTGTCGTAACACCATCATTGTCCGTGTATTTGTCTCTTGTTTCTCTTTCTGTTTTTGTTATATCTAAGGCGGTCTTATGAATTTGTTTTTCAGTACTTAGGCAAGTGTCCTGACATATTTGCACGTCATTATCATTATCACTATGGTCTGGAAAGTTATGGCTGTCCGTAGTTCGCCTAACCATTTTTCTTTTCTTTCTAGATATTGTTTTTAGCTCTTTCTTTGCAACCAAAATTATATTATCTAAACTAGGGTTAGAATTATCATTATTATTAGTGCCACCTACACTAATCTTACAGTATTAGTGGCTTGAGAAAGAGGCGGCTGGACTCGAAAACTCGGGAGTGTTACTCTACCAATATATTTTCATTTTTATAGTTTTTTCGTGCATATCGACGAATGCGTACTTCAAACCCTCTTTTTCTGTTGTTGTTAGTTTGTGGTTGTTCGGTTTCTATAAGTTTAATGTGTTTTTTGGAGACTGGTGAGTTTCTTCACGCTGAAGAAGAAGTCAAAAGTTTTTGTCTTGGCCACTTTGGGCAGGTCGTCTGTGTGCAACCATCTCTTCGCAGTAATTAGTAGTTTTTTTAGCTCGTTGCCGGATCGAGGTTGTTTTCTTTAGGCCTACTACTTTGTGATAACGGTTATTAACAGTTTTTCAAGAGTAAGTCAGGAAAACGAACCATCTTTTCAAAAGCTAAAACGGGAATTAAGTGTTTTGTCGCCTGTTAAGATCGGTATTTCGGTCGCAACCTAGGAGGGTCAGGTGCAATTTAGACCCATTTCTCCCTCCTTTACTGTGACAAATACTAGTGAAAAATTCACGAAAACAGGGCTAGTATTTAGAAACGAATGATTTTAAACACTTCTTTCTACTTCCATTATCAGGGCCATGCTCATGAATGTAATACATTAGCATTTAGTGCTTCATTACCACTTTGACTCATTTGATCTTGTGTAACACTAACAGTTCACTGGTAATTTATCACTTTTCACAAGATTAATATTGTTACGACGCTGGTAACACGGCATGAGATTCTCAAAGGATCTTGACCTTTCTTGGCAACTCTAGTCTTTTCTAGGCGCCCTCTTTTATTGTATATAAGTCCGGCAAATAAAGCGGAGTTGGATAGCATATAGAGAGATATATAGACAGATAACTGAGTCAATGCTATATACAGGAAAGAAAACATGGGGACACGAACCAAGCAAGAAATCGTTGTTAAGCATTATTTAAAAGGTAAATAATTTGTACTGACAGTTTCATTTGAATCTTTACATTTCACTTAATAAATAATTGTAACCAACATAGTCTTATAATTAACGGGGATTTAGAGTTAACATTAATTTAAATTTGTTATGGAATCCTAATGATATGATATTTATGCAATAAATGACGCTCAAAACTCATAAAGAAATACATGTGTAGTGAGTGACTGTAAGATTACACACATTGGCAAACTAAGCGCCATTTGAAAGCTAATCTATGAATATTTAGGCATATTGCGTAGATCTTTTGTTTGTTTGAAGTTAAGCACAAAGCGACACAATGGGCTATCTGTGCTCTGTCCACTACGGGTATCGAAACCTAGTTTCTAGCATTGTAAGTTCACACGCATGCCACTGGGTGGGGGGCACGTAGATCTTGCCCATGCTTAGCAACACCATGCCACTCAAGTTCGATCACATGAAGAAACTACAAGTCATAACATATTAATGAACGACTTTACCATAACAGATGGATCTACATACATTGAATATGCCATTAAAAATCTTCTAATTATGAGAGGCCACCCAAATCTAAATATTCATCAAACACCCTTCCAACTAATATTGGTTTAATTAACATAATAACATTAACCTTCTGTAATTCGTGTATTATAAGTTGTGACTGATGAATGTCTAGTATTTCAGTTCCAGTTTATGGTATTGTATATATAAACGTATTTTCCTTACTTTTAATATCTCAAAAATAATAATAATGTTTGATTACATCCTGTAGTCTACTTTATATGGTCTATATTCTCATAGGTCATATGGACTTCACTTAATTTGTACTAAATCAAAAGTACGATACCTTATAACTCTAGCGCTTTCAATAGGGTGAACATTTCTTCTTCATGGCCGAACTAGAAATGAGCGTTTAATTTCTGTCTGTCTATGATCTTTATCTGAGTTTAAGTCTTATAGACCAAGGGAAGTATTTGACCTCTTCCTCCTTTACGTGGCAAGTTTTTCGATTTAAATTCTCTTGGGGGAACCGTGGAAGGTAATTGAGGATCCTCAGAGGACAAGGTGCTAACAATCATCCCACCCTGTTGGTAAAGTCTAATAAAGTCACTTAGTATCTCAACCGCTAGTTTAAACATTTA